CAAAACCATTATCCACACCCAACAATAACCTGGAGCCAGATTGCCTGAACCGCAATCACCGGAGGTAGGAACAAAACATATCTGGGCACAACCCATCACACCACCAACACCGACTGAACAAATACATACCCACCTTGTAAATCCGAGCTATCAAAACAACCCACGACACCCACCTGTCATGAAAGGCAAGCCAACAAACCATCTCCATAGTATCTCCATTGTCACACGTCCAGAGCACCTTGACCACGGCAAAGACTCGCCATTGCTAGAGAAACTCACGAACAGGGATGCAAACAATAAACCCAACTTCACCAACCAACACCTAACACTGAGAGAGGAACTCTGAAGGAACGTTGGAAGTTTTTGATGGATCATCTTAATATTGAGATTGAAATCGTAATCAAAATATAACAAAGTCAAAATCAAAATCGAATGGAGGAAGAGGGTTAAGGTGTGTGGAAAAAGGGTTAGTGCGTAGAAAGTTGCGATAAAGGGTTAGTGTATAGAAAGCAGTGTTAAGTTGGTGTGTGTAAAATGCCTTTGTTCGGGAAGTTGTTATTTTAATAGGTTATTTTAGTTTTTGTCTATTTTAGCTTCCGTTTGGCAAGTTGGTTTATGGACTTTTTTGGTTATTTTAGCTACAAAAGACAAAATAGGCTATTTTAACCACAACAAACAAAACATCATATTCAACCCATAATCATTACACTATTCTCTCACAAAAAAAGTTTAAAAAGTCAAAAAGTCAAAAGGTCCTTCCCAAACCAAGCTTTTTAGCCTAGACTAAAATAGCCAAAAAAATCAAAAAGTCAAAAAGTCAACCCATTTCCCAAACCAAGCCTTAGTAGGTTAAAATTTTTGTGTTTGAGAAGATGATTGGATTTTTTTATAGTTGGATGTAATATTTGTGAGAGAAAAAGTAAAATGATTATGGGTTTGATGTGATATTTTGTCTTATTAGCTCTATTTTGTCTTTTTGTGAATTTTAGCCTAAACCAGACTATTTTTTTTCTTGTCAAACATCCCCCAATATATGAATTAAGGGTATGATTGGTATAATTGTTGTATGGAATGAAAACAAAAATTAATAATCAAACTACTAAGTGTGTATACTGAGAAAAGATATGCACTGACATAACTATGTATGTGGAAAAAGAATTTCCCAAAAGTCTTGTAATAAAAAATCAATTTGATCCTCAAAAAGTATGACCCGATATCTCTACTGTTTTTCGGTTGATGGAGTTGCGAGGCCATAAAATTTATTTGGGTAAATTACACTGACACTCTTGAGGTTTATCTTTATTACAGTTCTTCCCTCACTTTTTGGAAATTATATCTCCCTTGAGATTTAAAATTTCATTACAGATTCCTCCTCAACAATTTAATTTTTTTAAATACCAATTTTTCCCTCACTGGGTAAATTACATTGACACCTCTTATATTTTAGAAATTACAATCCCCTCCCTAAGGTTTAAAATAGTATTACCAATTGCCCCATCGATTAGTATTAGTTGGAAAAAAAATTCATTGAAAAAAAGATTCATTGGAAAAAAAATAAATTGAAAAAAAATTTTATTAGTAAAATTTTTAAATTTCTGTTTAAAAACCAACATAAACTCATTTTTTGAATTTACATTTTTTTTCAAATTTACAAACTGAGACAACCATTTATAAACAAAAAAAATTATCAAACAAGTTTTTATGACAGTTTTTTAAATTTTTGTAAATATAAATTGAAAATTGAAAACGAAATGGTTACCAAACAAGTTTCAGATGGTAAAAATATCATAAAATTAACAAATAATTAAATAAGTTACTAATGTAAGAAAAATGACTTATCAATAGATTCTTAGGCTATTTATGGTTTGATTTTTAGAATTTTTTTTAAAAAAAAAAATTAATCTAGTTAATAAATAAAAAATAAAAAATAATTATCATTTTTATATAATTTTTATCTTTCGAGTCTTTAGAAATAATTTTTTACAAATTAAATTGAAACAGTCATACGTATGTATATAACCTGCCCAAAAGTTAAAATGGTAATTATTTTTTACCCTTAAATGACAATTATTTTTTATTTTTTATTTCTTAACCAAATTAATTTTTAATTTTTAAATTTTTTTTCTAAAAATCAAACCATACATAACTTAAGAATCTTTTAATAAGTCATTTCTTACGTTGGTAACTTATTTAATTATTTGTTAATTTTATGACATTTTTACAATCTGAAGCCTATTTGGTAACCATTTCGTTTTCAGTTTTCAATTTATATTTACAAAAATTTAAAAAAACTGTCATAAAAACTTATTTGATAATTTTTTTAGTTTATAAATGGTTGTCTCCGTTTATAAATTTGAGGAAAAAACGTAAATTCAAAAAATGAGTTTACGTTGACTTTTAAACAAAAATTTAAAAAATTTACTAACAAAAAATTTTTTCAATTAAATTTTTTTTCAAATAATTTTGTTTTCCAATTAATTTTTTTTAATGAATTTTTTTTTTCAACTAATACTAACCTATGGGGCAATTGGTAATGTTACTTTAAACTTTAGGGAGGCGATTGTAATTTTTAAAATGTGAGGGGTGTCAATGTAATTTACCCATTGAGGGCAAAATTAGTATTTAAAAAAATTAAATTGCTACAGGAAGAATCTGTAATGAAACTTTAAACTTCAGGAAGAGAGATGTAATTTCCAAAAGGTAAGAGGAAAACTATAATAAATATAAAACTCAGGGGGTGTCAGTGTAATTTACCCTATTTTTATTCACTTTGATATTCTATATGTTTGTTTGTCTGTGTTTGTCTGTTGTGACAAACATAGAAAAATTTGTAAACAAAGGTACACAAATTTTCTGTGAATAAAGCTAATTTTTTCTAGATTTATTTGGTTCAAACTCAAAGAAATTTTAATTTTCTTTGGTTTAAACTTAGAAAAATTCTCTGCACGTAATTTTTTTAGATCGAAATTTCTTTGGAAACATATTGAGGGACCTTAGTTATTATAAAAATATTACACAAAGCATAAAGGACATATAATATTAAACAATCTCGGGCTTTTTTTTCTGCTTTGAACCAAGAGAAATTTTAACAAAAATCCGATAATTTCTCTAGCAATCGAGAGAAAATCTCTAGATTAGAATTCAAAAAAATTCTCTGGCCTTCACAAAAAAATTTCTCTAGGAAGGCCAGAGAAATTCTCTGGATCGATTTTTTTCTGAAAAGAAATTCTCTGAATCGATATTGAGAGAACTTAGACATTATGAAAATATTGGATATCCTTTATGCTATAAAATCTTAAATCTTAATACCAAGGATCTTAAAAAAAATTCCCTTAATTTTATGGTTAATAAATTAAGGTGTTTAGGTTAATTTATAATAATTTTATGTTTAATTATAAAAGTTATTAAATAAAAAATTGGGTTAAAAATACAAAATAAAAAATAAAAATTATGAAAATATTGGATATCCTTTATGCTATAAAATCTTAAATCTTAATATCAAGGATATTAAAAAAAATTCCCTTAATTTTATGGTTAATAAATTAAGGTGTTTAGGTTAATTTATAATAATTTTATGTTTAATTATAAAAGTTATTAAATAAAAAATTGGGTTAAAAATACAAAATAAAAAATAAAAATTAGTTTAAGAGAATTTTACGGTAATGAATTAGGGTGTTTAGTTTAATTCATGATTTAATTTATTAAATGTGTGATTAAGATAAAAAAAAAATTTATATGCAATGGAGTAGAGAAAAAAAGAATATAACATAAGGATATTTAGGTAATTTTACCCTTACATTTAACAAAGTTAGCTTTGAATTTTAGTCCAAAATCATAACGGAATTTTCCACCTATATTTGAATTATAAGAGGTGAATTACAAGAGATAAAGTACTCCAAAATCAAAACACAATGGGGTAAAGGAAATTTTGCCCTTAAGATTTCAATTCAACCTATTATATCCACTTTCTTCGACCTTCAAACTGTAAGTCATCACCCCTCTTCAACCTCCACCACAGTGACCCAACCTCTATCCACGCAACACCTTAAGACATAGACCTGAGAAAAAGACTCGATTCTTACCATACCTTAAACCCTAGATTTTGGAAAAAGACAAATATAAGAAAGAATTGAAAGGGGCTATAGATATGGTAGTAGAGCAGAAAAGCAGGCTAGATGAAAAAAGGCAACAGAAGGAAAGGGCATTGAAAGAGAGGTTGTGACGAGAGAATAAGGTGTTAGAGAGGGACGATGGGAAGAAAGGAAGGCTAAAGTGGAAATGAATGAGGAAAGAAATAACATCAACAATAGAAGGTGGTGGTGGTTGATAGTTTGGGAATCAAGATTTAAGATGGTTTGAGAATTAGGACTTAAGATGGAGAAGCTAAAGGTATTATGATCATTTTATTTTAAGAAAAAATTAAAAAGTAAAAAAATAATAAATAAATAAATAATATGTGCAAACTAAGCGGGAAGAGTGGGTGAAAATATCCCCAAGTTTAAATCTACATAATACATAAATTAAAATGTAAATTATACTTTTCACTCTTGAATTTTCACCCAAATTTTGTTTTGATCCCTTATTTTCTAATTACAACAATTATATCCCCAAATTTCAACCAACATAATTTGTCCAACAAATTTCTTTGGAAAAATATCAAATAAATGGTATTTATAAAAAATAATTACAAACCAATGATAAATTTTATAATTATTAATAATTAAATATATTAATATATATACTTTTTATGTATCTGTAATTATTTTTTGAAAAGTAGACTGAATTGTAATTTCTCCAATTTCATTCTCTACTGCACCTAATGTGCTCATGTAGCCCTCGTGTAAGCATGTTTAATCCAAAACTTTAATGAAAGTGCTAGAAACATCACATTGAAACAAGAATAAAAGTCTAATGACTTAATTAAAGAGATAAAGGAACAAAGAAAAATTTGAGTAAAAATTTGAGGTTTAAACAAAATATTCATACATTATATATGCTGCATGACTGCAGTACACATTCTGATATCCTTTTCCCACTTCAAAGACTTTTTTTTATTATTCTCCTTTTTTTTTTTTCTTTTTTTTTTTAATTTGTGAACATAGTTATACTTTTAATTACAAGTCATAATTGCACAAGATTTAAAAGTCATAATCGCACAAGATTGCAAAGAAACCAAACAAAAACCAAAATTTCATCATCACACAGCAACTTGAGCTGCAGCTAGCCTAGCAATAGGTACCCTGTGAAGAGAAACCAACAATCAGAAACACAATCTAGAGGAATTCATGCTTGCAGATTACAAATTGGGTAACATAAAACATGACAATCATATATGTATATATATATAGGTACCTTAATGGGGAACACGAAACGTAGTCGAGTCCAGCCTCCGCGAAGAACGCGACAGAAGAAGGCTCTCCCCCGTGCTCTCCACATATTCCAACCTGTTTTGTTATCGTCGCCCACATCATGTCAGAGCACAACTAATGAAAAGCTTGAAACTTGATGAAACCCTCACAACAAGATAATACTTAAACTTAAAGGAGCACAGACATGCAAGTTTCCAAAAAATGCAGTGAGGACAAGTAAGGGACACATCCAAAATATATAATTTTGTATATATTTTACATGTCATATTTTAAAATATAATATATTGATTCTCATCAAATTAATCAACTTGATTATGCTATTCCGGTAAAAAACTAAATGAAAAATATACGAATATATGTGTGTGTGTGTGTGTTCCCCAATGCGTCTGATTCTTCCTGAAAGGTGTCCATGCTTCATAAATGTTTAGGCAAGGCCGACCTGCTATTTCCTTCCCAAACTTCAAAGGGCTTAGCCAATTGGCTTGAAGGTCTGCTCCATCTTTTTACAAAGTTCTCATCAACCACATATAATTAATTAAACACCAATTAAAAAAGCATGTCTATAAAATAGGGACAAGAGCATCTCATGCCAAACATCACATGATTTGGATGGGAAGAGAAAGGGGAGGGGAACTATGTTCCCAACGTTTCTAGAGAGAGAAAAAAAATTAACATGCTATGTGGAGTGTCTGACGACAGAAGGATGCTCATCCAAGCCGTGTCTATCTGCGATACATGTTGAACACTCTACTAAAATGGGAAATCCATGTTTCATAGGTCAAAACATGATACATGTCGAACACTATTACTCAAATGAATTGTCCAGTGTTTCCTAGGTCACAACAATCATAAAATGCAAACTCCCTCATAAAAAGCCAAAGACTATAAAAGGTTTTACTTTTATTTCATCAGCTCAAACAGACAATCCTAAGAATTGCTGCTACTCACCTTCAAGCTCGGCCTAGCTCTACGACCCTTTTCCATGGTGATCTTGATAAGTTGGCCCACACCTTTTTGATCAAGTACCTGAGAACAAAATATTGAACAATTCTATGCACCTGAAAAAACGCTAGAAAATGCAAAGTTTTTTGCCCCAAAAAAACAGGCATTAAAGAAACTCTCCTGTGAACCAATTGGAAAAGCATATGATTCAACAGACCTCAAAGGGATCACTTTGGAGGATGCCTTGGGAGAGGTATATGGGGAGAAACTTTCCAACATCATCTCTACTGTACCCGAATGTCATTTGAGTGAGATCATTGGTCCCAAAGGAGAAGAACTCTGCTTCCTCTGCAATCTACAAGTACCGGTTAAAGAATATAAGTTAATGGATTGACAATAATTGACAAACTTCTAATATATCTAACCAGAATATATATTGGTTCCCCAAGTATTGAAGCCATTTTAAATCAAATAAATAAATAAATAAATAACCGAAATAAGTTCATCTAACATACCTCATCTGCAATCAGAGCAGCTCTAGGAACCTCGATCATCGTCCCAACCTTATAGCTCAATGAGAATCCCATCTCAGAGAACACTTTTTTCGCTACGCTACGAATTAAATTCACTTGATGTCCTAGTTCCTGCCACTCAAAATGCCAAAAATGAGGAACTTGGATACTCAAAATTACAAATGAGTAAAGAAAAAACCATTAATTTCATTTATCAAGATCGGTTAAGGAAAATAAACTAGGGCTCACCCTACTGAATTCTAATATTTTACAAGTGCATGTTGGAGGAAAAAGAAAATAAATAAATTTTATTTATTGTTCAATCTATCTACTTTAAATCATTGATGATTCGATTCCCCAAAAAAAAAAGAAATTTCTGTCATTTATGGTGACAAAATGTGGTTGTTATTGTAGAACTTCATTCAAACAATGATGTCAAAGTAGGAAACTGAGTTATAAATTAAATATTTTTACGGATTCCATATGAGTTGAATAAGCAGTAAAGTCAAAAAATTGTGTTAATGGTGAAATGGTAAGCCTTGACTATGGGAAAAGAAAGGGAAGATTAAGAATCATGCCTGAGGTGTTCCGACAAGGGGAACCATAATCTCGGGAAGAACAGTAACTCCCTTCTTGCTCATAGACATGGCAGCCTGAAAGATAGCCTGCACCTGCATTTCAGTTAGCTCTGGGTACGATATCCCTAGCCTGTGGACATGTCAAAGAAACCCAACATAAATAACAGCAATTTGCTGTGCTGATATTTCTCGAATTGCTGTTGTAGGCCAATGTGAAAATTTATCATCATTCAAAGCAATAACCAATATATATATGAGTTTAATGCTTCTATATATTGCACACATAAAATGAGTCAATTGCCATGCAATAAAAAAAATTAACATATCATGATGTCAAGAAATATCACATAGCAATTGAGTTTTATCACATAATTATAGTCAACTAGAAAAATTCAGAAACTAGCTTCAGCAAGGAATTATCAAGAAACAAATTAGATGGAATGTCAGACCTGCAACCTCGGAAACCAAGCATGGGATTTACTTCTGATAATTTTTCAATCCTTGAATAAACTTCATCTTCAGTCATTCCAGTGTCTTTGGTTAGTTCGCTGACAATCTCTCCTAGATCACCTTCTGGTAGAAATTCATGGAGTGGAGGGTCTAAAAGTCTAACTGTCACCGGGAAGCCTGCAATATCAATTATTCATCTTTATATTACAGCAGAAGTGAGCTTATTACTCTTCTTTTTTGTTAAAATCCACCTACTCTCCACCTACTTCACCCACTTAAACCTACTCCACTAAACCTAACCCACTAAATCCACATACTCTCCACCTACTTCACCCACTTAAACCTACTCCACTAAACCAAAAAAAAATTAAAAAATCTGTATTAAGCAATTACTAAATGTTACTTGCCCTGAAAATCAAGCTACTGATTCATGCGTTTGATCATATACATAAGATGATCTGATACATTATTTACGGTGTCCGGAAATCTTTTACATGTGTTGATAGAAGAAAAAAGTACCATCCATTGCACTGAATAAGCCCTCAAAATCTGATCTTTGATAAGGCAACAACACGTCTAGGGCAGTCTTCCTCTGTTCAGGTGTAACTGCCATTATCATTTTTCTCACAGCCTTTATCCTCTGATCCGAAGCAAAGAACTGAAACACCCCAACAAATGAAGAGTTCAAGAGATTTTAAAAAACCAGCCACATCTAATACAATACAAGATTGGCCACTGTATCTGTTTGGAAGTAATTAGTTTATTTTCATTCCATTATGGGTAAGACTTCAACCAAAAAGTCCACAAGCATCCTACTCACAGATGTGTTGGGATATACCTCCTTATTGGAGTGTGGGACCCAGTTGATTTATTAAAAGAGGTTTAATTTGGCTTGGTTTAGTATAATATATTTTTATATATTATATTTGAAGAAACCCAATTCAATTTGGATACAATCAATGAAAAGTTTGAAAACATCAATTGTTTCATTTTTGTGCGTAAATAGTTTTGAAAATTTGGGAATAAATTTCAGTAGTATCCTAAAAAGTGGATTGTTTTAAAAAAAATCCCAAAAACAGTTTGCCAAACAAATTTTCTATTGTTTTCTGAAAAATGACAATAGAAAACAAAAACCGAAAACGCAACCAAACAAGGAGGCAGTTAAGGAGTAGTTACCATGTGCTCTGTCCTACATAGTCCAATCCCTTCAGCACCATTGTTTCTTGCTATTAGTGCATCATCAGGCGTGTCGGCATTTGCCATGACCTATCATAAACCACATTACTGGTCAAATTTTAAATGTTCAACGATAGATGCGCCAAGCACACATGGCATATTGCAACATAAATGGCTGCAGCACCTTGAGACGCCTAAATTTGTCGGCCCAAGACATGAAAGTCTCCAAATCACCACATAGAGCCGGAGGAGAGAGTCGTTGTTTACCCAAGATTACTTCACCGGTAGATCCATTGACTGAAAGCCATTCCCCTTCACTAAAAACTCTGTCTCCAATCACAACAACCTGCACCACAATGAAATACTGATCCCTCCTCTTTCTTTTAAAAAAAATAAAATAAATTATTGAACCACTAAAAAAATATTAAAAAGTCTACCTTCTCGGCATCATTGACTCGGATATCAGAACAACCAGCAACACAACACTTTCCCCACCCACGGGCTACAACAGCTGCATGAGATGTCATACCACCTCTAGCTGTCAATATTCCAGAAGCAGCATGCATACCTCCAACATCCTCCGGACTGGTTTCTGTCCTCACCTTTAACCACACATAATTGACAACAATTGAACCAGGATCAGGAAGTTGGATCATGTTTTATGTGAAATTTCACCACGGCGTTACGTAACGGTTGCGGCCGCTTTTTAAAACCTTGTTACTAAGTGTACTGCTGTTGCCGAACTAGAGATGGATCTTTGATCAGCTTTAACCATTAAAACAAAAAAAAAATCGAATAGGAGCATACCAAGATGACACTTTTTCCTTGTGCATGCCATGCTTCAGCAACATCGGCACTGAATACAACCTGGCCCACTGCTGCTCCTGGAGAAGCGGCCAACCCCTTGGCAATCACTCTGTCTTTGTAGGTAGATGAATCTTCAAACTACAATTATGAAGTGACATTAGATATATCAAACCTATTTACACTCCCAAAGAGACCTTTAATTACCAGAATGAAATGGAAATTAAGGAGCAGGCAATATAGATCACTAAAAATAATTGGAAGATTCAAAGAAATTACATAATGATTTGATTAGAAAATGAAAAATATTCAGCATTCCGTGGTCATGTAACTGTATTTGAACTAAGAATGCGCATTTGATACTTTAATTTAGAACTAGATAGACAGAATGATGAACTACCTTTGAACCACTTTTAACATAAATATATACCTGGGGATGAAGAATTTGGTCAAGATGCTGTGGCTCGACCATCTTAATTGCAGTCCGAGTATCAATGAGCCCTTCATTAACCATATCTACAGCAATCTTCACTGCACATTTACCGGTACGCTTGCCTGACCGGCATTGCAACATCCAAAGCCTACTTTCTTGGACAGTGAATTCTATATCCTATACTCAGCATAAATTCAAAGAAATATCATGTTTTATTTGTACCATTATATCACAATAGTGAAATCAAAGCCGAAGAAAATCATCAGCAATAAATTTAAAATTGAAAGGTTATCATCTTTCCACCAAGATGAGAAATTTTACCATCATATCCTTGTAGTGATGCTCCAAAATTTCACAATTCTCCACAAGCTCCTTGTAAGCATCAGGCATGGCACTTTTCATGGTGTCCAAGTCCTCCGGTGTTCTAATTCCAGCTACTACATCCTCTCCCTATTCAAAAATTTTAACCAGCTATCTCTCAACATTGACTTAAAATGTCAATTACAAAAAAAATCAAACAGGGTTTGAATTTTAGGACCTGAGCATTGACTAGATACTCCCCATAGAGCTTCTTTTCACCGGTGCTCGGGTTCCTAGTGAAGAGGACCCCTGTCCCGGAAGTGTTTCCAATGTTCCCAAACACCATGCATTGAATGTTCACTGCTGTACCCATTAACCCAGTTATCTGGTTAATGCTCCGATATTTTATAGCTCTTGGGCTGTCCCAGGAGTCAAAAACTGCTTGAACAGCCAGCTGTAATTGTTTCTTTGGGTCTGCAGATAAACACAAGTATAATGTGGTTATAAACTTGACAATAGCAATATGAATCTCAACCAAGGAAGCAAGGATGCAGATATGATAGGATATGAATACGGAGATCTGAGAAAACCTGAAAAAAATGATACAGGTACGGCAAGGATACGTTCGTTAAAAAAATAAAATTATTGTTATAATTGTAGTATTATGTATAAAAATAAAACCAGAAACAGGAGTATATTCATAAAACATCCGGTATTAAATTCCTTAATATTCAAAATAGAAATTTATGTTCATCAAAGATTACATTAAAAATCATTCAATTAACAACCAGCAATAACAAGGATTCGATCAAATATTCAGGTTTGGTTCACATTTTGATTTTGCACAAGAATTTGTTATTTACAGTTTGACCCCAACCAAAACCTTCCAGAAATTGTGTTTTGAATCCTGCAGTATCCTTCTCCATCCTCCCATATACGAAATTGGAAATAAATAGATAAATAATTGGATACTTATTTGGCATATCTGATACGTATCTAGCTGTATCAAATGCATATCCGTTGTAAGGTACCTGAAGGAAAATTTTCACCCGCTTTAAGGTAGACATTCTTGTATTGTTCAATCAGCTCTTTTAGATCAGAGGCCGTTAGCTCAGTATCAAGCTTAACTCCTTTTACATTCTTCAAATTTTCTAACTTTTCTCCGAATGATGAGTGTGGAATGCCCATGACCTTCAATACAAAGAGTATTTTCAAGAATTTGAAAAAAAAGGTGAATGCATAACAACATGTCAGGATTGAAACAGTCAATTTATCTCATTTGAGAAGAGAAAATTGAATTCAATATAAAGGACCACTTACAACATCTCCAAACATATCTAGGAATCGTCCTATATGAATCATAAGCGAACCGCTCTCCACTTGTTGCAGCCAAACCAGCAACCACTTCATCATTCAGACCAAGGTTGAGAACAGTGTCCATCATGCCAGGCATAGATATCTGAATTATAAATATAAAGATGAGTGTACATATGTAGTTTCATACTTGCATTTCCATTTGCTCAAATCAAGTGCTTTGCAACTTCTTATAGCATAAGCTGAGCTTTCTTTAATAAGAGAAAATTCTACAAGCACACAGTGTGTGTGTGTGTGTGTGTTCGTGACTCTTCCTATTACCAACAATTATTAAATGGTGGAGTCGGGGCTATACATGTATCTGTTTTTGGAATGAAAATCATGATTAAGAAATTTCATAATTCTTATTGAAGTAGGACATGTAGCCAAGGAGTTTCTCAAACACTGGAGAGTCAGAAGTCCAACGCACCTGTGATTTTGGCCCCGATTCTAATGTTTAGACTTCTGTATCAGCATTCTTTTTATTTTAACAAAATTTTGTTCTAGTTGTAACTTTCATTATAAATTTTTGTTATTAGTGCCTGCTTTTTTTGGCGGGCTTCCTAGACCTAGTAGCATTTGAATTAGAGCTCATCTCAAATTTACAATTTTTAGTTACTTTACTTTTTTCTTTAACTATTCACGTGGATTCAAGATCATGTCATCTATTGAAACGATATCTACCCTCTTTTTGTTTTTCCATAAAACATTTTTCTACAGAAAAACATTTTCCACGAAAATTTTTGAAAATTATTTTCTGTGAAAAATGTTTTTCTATATTTAATAGAGACATTGAAACTAATGTGCAAGTGGTTGTATTAATAGTGGTCTGCGGAGATAGTATGGTGACATTAGTAAGAGTATAATTTGGAAAACTTTTTCTACCTTTCAAAAGTAAAAAACACTATAAACTTATTTTTGTTTATCATAAAAAACATTTTTCATTCAATTTAATTTTTTTCTAATACCAAATGTTAGAAAATATGAAAAATATTTTTATATGTTTGATTGCAACATTAAAACTACACCCTAATAGGGGAAATGTTCGAGACCCTAATAAAGCTCCCACAATTTAGCTACAATATGTGGGTGTCAATTTTTAATTTATCACACACTCGATCATATAGGACTCTACTCCCTTACTACATTACTCTGGATATTTCACGTCTAAAATGTGGGCCTCCAACATTACTCGTCCTAGTAGTTGTATTAGTAGTGGTGTTAATGGTGACAATAATAGTGTGTGGCATTCATAAAAAAACATTTTTGGCTAACTTGTTTTCTACCTAAACAAACAGAACCTAGTCAAGACAAATATCAGCAATGCACCAAAAAAAAAAAAAAATTCTGATAAGAATTTCCAAAAAAAAAAAAAAAAGGAAGAAACTCACAGCAGCACCAGATCGAACAGAGAGAAGGAGAGGCTTAGAAGGATCACCAAGAAAAGCCCCAATCTCCTTCTCAACAATCTTCAACCCATCCAATATCTCTTCCCACAACCCATCTGGTAGTTTCTTCCCATTCTGATACTCTTTACATGCTTCTGTTGATATGGTGAGTCCTGGAGGTACTGATAATCCAATGCTCGCCATCTCTGCCAAGTTTGCTCCTTTGCCTCCCAACTGAAATCAAATATACACACATAGTATAGAAATTCGAACTCCATTGGAAGTTGTGAATCTACTATGACTTGGATTGGAACATCAATTCACAATGTTAGGCCATAAATGGAAGAGAACTTCCATGGAAGTTCATGAATTTTCGAGTGTGTGTGTATATCTGAATTTTAACATTCTAGAGAAAATTGTAAATAAGTGTATTTCTAAACACACGCGCGCGCGCGCGCACGCACACAAAATTATAAATTCATTAAAAAAAAAAGAACTATAATTTTAATTATTAAAACTGATAAATTTCTTCATTGATTTATATATATATATTTTTTTTTTTTTTGAAAACTTGCACTCAAGTGCATTTTAGTGGCAAATTCTAGAGGCAAACTGCTTCACCCGACCTGTATTTGGTTTTGGATCTGTTTAAATTTGAAAAATGCTTAAGATTTTTGACAATAAATCTTAAGTCACTTCTAAAGCTCATTGGTTTTTTTAGTGAAATTTTTCTGTTCTTATTCTTGTTTCATAATGACAATAAATGTGACATTTACATAGTCAATTTTAGTGGTGGTTTCCATTTATCCTTATAAGAAGGAAAAAAATGATTGGTCTTAAACTATAGAATAACCCAAAAAATTAAAGTAAAACATGGATTTGTACAAGTAGAAGGATGTAAATAACTCACCAAGGACTTCATGCCCATGTTGCCTTCACTCTTTCCTTTGCCAAAAGTAAAGACTCTCTGCTGCAAGCAACACAAATTACTATCACTACTTGCAACATTAGTTCCAAATACACATAATAATAGTAGTAATAATAATAAATAAAATTAAAAAAAAAAAACCATTTGATTGAATTCTTCTATATATATTAGCTATTGTAACCTTTCTCTATTGAAAGTTTGAAAATCAGAAACAAATACATGAATGAACATTACCTTCATGGTTTCTCTCTTTGTCTCAAAAGCCACTTTACTCACTGCAAAGATGGATTTTTATTACAGATGGAGATTGCAAATAGCCCAATATTTTTGGTTTAAAACTTTATAGTAAATGGTGATCCTTTGTGGTGTAGTGTAGGATTGCTTGGGCATGCAGAAAGAGTTTATCAGTAATTGACACGTAGAGAGGAGATGCTATAGGTGGCAACTTCAGCCGAATAATGCTAAGTATTATGAAAAAAAAAATCATAAAATGCATCATAAAGATTTTTCATCATTTGAGTAGTGTGTGGTGTTTTATTGTGTGTGTAATCCAAAGATAAAAAAAAATTTATAATTATTTTCATGATATTTTTTTTCGTGATTCCTAGCATTACTCAATTCAGCCCCAGCATGTCAATTACATCATCAAGGGCAAGTACAGCTAATTAATTTGGATTTTTGCTTCCATCATTCAATGAACACAACAGACATTGGAGTTTTTCTCATCAGACAAAAATAATAGCAATATACATGAGTAATACTTTAAAACAGTGACGGAATCAAGAAATTAAGATAAAGGAAACGCTTTATAATTTTAATTTTGAGATATTTATACATAAATTTTAATTTATGAATTTAAAAAATCTAGCCAAAGAGCATAAGTTAGAGGATACATTTTGTATATGCACCAAAAATAAATAAATAAAATAAAATAAAAATTGAGGGGGCACGTGACCCCTGGCCTTTTTTTAGCTCCACCACTGCTTAAAAGAATTAAGTTCCTCTCAACTTCAAATTTAAAATTGAGAAAATTTGAAGGATCTGTAAGATTTATCATGAATTTTATTTTGATAATTTGAATTATTTATTTTATTAACTATGAAAAAAATTAAGTTGGTACGATAATTATAATATTTTTATTTTATTACGTTTATTTTCAAAAAAAAATAAACGATAAATATATTTTTAAAAATAGACTATTTATTTTTTAGAAATAAACACAATATAAAAAAAATGCTTCAATTATCATATTAATCTAATTTTTTTTAGGGGTATTTTTTTTCAGGTCCCTGGTATTATGATTTTATAGCATAAAAGACACCAAATATTTTCATAATGTCTAAGGTCCATCAACAATATTTTCATAATGTCTAAGGTCCCTCAACCTTGATCCAGAGAAATTTCAGTCCAGAGAAATTTCAGTCCAGAGAAATTTCAGTCCAGAGAAATTTCAGTCCAGAGAAATTTCAGTCCAGAGAAATTTCAGTCCAGAGAAATTTCAGTCCAGAGAAATTTCAGTCCAGAGAAATTTCAGTCCAGAGAAATTTCAGTCCAGAGAAATTTCAGTCCAGAGAAATTTCAGTCCAGAGAAAATTGGTCCAGAGAAATTCTGGTCCAGAGAAATTTGGTCCAGAGAAAATTGGTTAGAGAAATTCTGGCCCAAAGAAATTTCTCTGGATGAATTTCTCTACTTTTCTTCTCATTTCCCCGATACTGTAGTGATGATCAAAGGTAGGCCAAGCAAGCATACAATAATAATTTAATGATAGCAAAACTAATAACATCTTAATAACAAAACTCAGAAGCACATTTAATCAAAAACTAACTAGGAAAGTTTGGATAACTTCAGTTGCAAGTGAATGGATTCATGCCTGTGTTTTACAAGATGACGACGGACACTAGAGAATTTCTCTGGATTTAAAATCAAAGAAATTTTCTGCATCACCAAAAAAAAAAAAAAAAAAACAGCAACAAAGCAACAATTTATAAAAATCGTGACAACAAAAAGTCACTAATTATCAATTTTTAGCAATGTGCAAAAAATGGTCATAAAAAAATTATTTTTAGCGACGATTTTACTAGGATTAACTTTCAATAAGATTTTAATGAGAATTAAATCCAACTATTATGATATATTGGTAATTTACCCAAAAATAATTTTTCAGTTTTTTGGTTTTTGTGTTTCTTATTTGTAGTGAACTTTTTTTCATATTTTAGTCAATTTTTTTTAATTTTTTAGATGTATCTAATATAAATGTACTTAAAAACTAAAATTTTTAGAGCAAAAACACAGAAAGTTGGATTCATCAAATTAGAAGTAGAAGTAGGGCAAACGATCAATATCAATATTCAATATATAGGTTAATATAATGCACTTACCTCAAAAAAAAGTATGAAGTGCTGTTTGTATATAGATGTATAAATGTCTATATGTATGTATGTATAGATTGAAGGAAACACTTGGGTCTTCTTTCCTGGAAACAATAATAGTCTCCTCCAAAGAAAACAAGAGTAGATTGAGAGAGAGTAAAGATAGAGTAGTGATTCCAAGGCAGTGTGATTTTCTTGGACCCCAAACAGACAGAGAAAAAAGAACAATGCTATCCAGAGAAATTTACTCCCTGGCCTTTCATGCAAACTCCCACCTCTTCACAACAACCTACACAATGAACCCCAAACCAGTGGCACGCGCAAGAATAGGACCCCGGAAAAATGCCATTGGCGCCGCATTTTGAGAAGCGACGCCATAGCCAAGCTTCCATGCACCACCGAAGCACTAAGCATTGCGTAATACCTTCACAGGTAGTGCACTACCAACACACCACCAGTGAAATAGCTCCATCAGCCGAAATACATCATCGGCTGGACCAATAATCGCTGACAAAAAGATCGCTCTGATTTTTGAAGCAGATAATTAAAAAATAAAAAGAAGAAATAATAATATAGAATAGAGCAGACTAAAACAGACCCGATTCAACAAACACAGGACCAGGCGAGACCTCCGATGGTGGGTTTGGTGATCAGAAGATGAGATGAGAGGGAGAGAGAGAGAGAGAGAGAGAAATCATGAACAATGAAGAGAGAGAAAGAAAGAGAGAGAGACTCTCATATATGTTAAGGGACCTTAGACATCAAAAATTAATTTTGTGGATGTCTTCCATTACGAAAAGTGGGAGAGGGACCCTAGACCGATTTTCTCTTTTTTTTATCGATGATATTCATGTGCATAACGAACAATTCGAATTATCAAAACGAGACTCGAAATAGGCCCCACAAATCCCTCAAGTTCGCTATTAACTTGAAAAAAAACTCAATCCTACTCAAAATTTAGAAATTTTACCTAGAATATCAATATGTAGTACAAATTCATTCTACACATGAATTCCAAAATATATGCTTTTAATTCCCATCACACAATTTAATTCTTGACACAAATATAAAATAAATACGGTCATTAAAAAATTGGAGTTTTTTCATTAAACTCAAGTCATTTAAAAAAAAAATGGTGGACGACTCTATTTATTTTGCTAAAGAAAGTTTAAGCTGTTTTGGACAATATCTATTTTTTTTTTTTTTTTTAAAAAAAAATCAACTTTAACCCCTTATAAAAGCTATTTAAAATAATTTTAAAAATTAGAAATATGTCAAATGAATTAAAAATTAGGTATATATATTAAAAAAAAATTACTCTAAAATAATTAGGCATGTGAAATTAAAATTTCACTATTATCTAACTTACCTTTACTTCTCGCGTTCACTGAAATACCCTCGTTTACCATATCTTTTGGTCCATTCTTCTTGCCTTCCCCCCATTTATAGGTGGGCCGACTGGCCATAGCAACCAGGGCCGGCCCTGAGTTCGTCGGGGCCTAAGGCGAATTTCGGAAATTGAGGCCCTTTTATACTGAAAAATAATTCATGAATAAAATGATAAGTTACAATTTTTTTATTTGTTTGTAATCATAAAAAAATTTACTTACACATATAATTATTAAAATTATAAATAAAACAATTTAATAAAACAAAATTAGAACAAAAAAATTAGGAAAAAATTATTCAATTAAAATTGATAAAGACCTAGGTAAAAAAATTTGAGCAAAATTATTTATTCCACTAAAATCTAATAGATAAAGAAGGTAAAAATAAAAAAAATAAAAAAATAGGGCCCATATATTGTATGTATTATTTTTCTTGAGCCCAAACACTTTTTTTTTAATATATATTTTCATTTTAACAAATATGGGCCAAACTACACTTCTAAATAAATATGGGTTAAACCATACATGGACCCAATAAAATATTTTGGGGTCCTTTAAATTGATCCTAAAAAAAAAAAAAAAACATTGAGCCTATAATATTTTACCAAATTTAGGGGCCCTATGTTATATATGATTATATGTTTTATCAAATTTAGGGGCCCTATTGTTTTTTATTTATTTATTTATATATTTTCATTTTAATAAATATGGGCCAAACACATTTATAAATAAATATGGGCTAAATTATACATGAGCCCAATAAAACATTTGGGGCCTTTTAAATTGATCTTAAAACCAAAAAAAAAAAAGTTGAACCTATAACAATTTTTTAAATTTAGGGCCCTATTTTTGGGCCAAAATATGGGGCCTAAGGCACAAGCCTTACCTGCCTTAGGGCAGGGCCGGCCCTTATAGCAAGTGGCAATCACTTCAATCCAAGCTTATCAGCTTTGAATAAAAAAAAACAAAAAAAGGTTTTTTTCTTTTTAATTTTTTTAAGCTTATCTACATTGAATTTATCCGCAGCACACAATTTGCTTAATTTGATATTCACCTTTTTTTTTCTTTTAAAAAAAGCTTATTTACATTGAGCTTATCCACAACACACTATTTGCTTAATTTTATATTAACCTTAATTAATATAATAATTACATAATAATTTTTAATTTTAAATTAAAATATATTTTATCATATATATTTATAAAATTAAATATTTTTATTTATTTTATTTTTTTATTTTTTTTTTGAGATTTATCAAACAAAGACAAGTGATGAATTTGAAATTCTCTAAATAAATAAAAAAATCAAAATCAAATCAAAAAAATTTCAATATGTTTATTATTTTTTTTATAGTGAAATTTCTCTTATTACAAGTTCATGAAATTTCATATTTTCTTTTGAAACATCAATACAAAATTGATGAATATTATTGTTTAGATCAGTAACTATCAAATTGAAACAACACACAGATTGGTTATGTCCAATTTTATACTTGGTGTGGTTATTTAGTAATTTTTTAACTTTTTACGAAAAAAAATATATAGAAAAATAAATAAATAACATGACAACTTGTAATAAATAAACTGCTTATTTAGGCA